GGACTAAACCAGGTCTAAAACCAGGTCTAAAACCAGGACTAAACCAGGTCTAAAACCAGGTCTAAAAGGTCTAAAACCAGGTCTAAAACCAAAACCAGGTCTAAACCAGGTCTAAACCAGGTCTAAACCAGGTCTAAAACCAGGAAAACCAGGACTAACCAGGTCTAAACCAGGTCTAAACCAGGACTAAACAGGTCTAAAACCAGGACTAAACCAGGTCTAAAACAGGTCTAAACCAGGTCTAAAACAGGTCTAAAACCAGGTCTAAACCAGGTAAACCAGGCTAAAACCAGGTCTAAAACCAGGACTAAACCAGGTAAACCAGGCTAAACAGGTCTAAAACCAGGTCTAAACCAGGTCTAAACCAGGTCTAAAACCAGGTCTAAACCACAGGTCTAAAACCAGGTCTAAACCTAAACAGGTCTAAACCAGGACTAAGGTCTAAAACCAAACCAGGTAAACCAGGTCTAAAACCAGGACTAACCAGGACTAAAACCAGGTCTAAACAGAAACCAGACTAAAAGGTAAACCAGGTCTAAAACCAGAACTAAACCACCAGGTAAACTAAAACCAGGTCTAAAACCAGAACTAAACCAGAACTAAACCAGGTCTAAAACCAGGTCTAAACCAGAACTAAACCCGGACTAAAACCTCTTCTATCAATAATATTTTTAATACTGTTGAGCAAAGACTCGACCTTTTCATTTTCTTTTATCAGACAAAACATCTTATGTGAAGATTTCCTCGTCTTTTGTTTCTCTACAGCAAATCAAGTCGTCCAAAGTATTCAGATTATGTTCCTCACTTTAAATAATTTAATGGATTATGTTACAAACTACATTTTGGTGTTTGTAATCTGTAATCTGTAGGGGAAAACATTTTAAAAGTCACCTTCCCAACACTGTCTTAAATCAAAAGCAAAAGTTTGGGCGACCAGGACCTCATCCACCGATTCCTCGACCAAAGTGTCACCGCACTTTACCAAATCCAACTTCGTGAAAACAAACGTGACATAAACAGTCAGACAAAAACAGACAAAAGTGACTTGAAATTACTTTTTTTTTTAACTTCTGGAACGGTCACGAGTGGTTTTGTTTAGTTCTCCAAAAATGAACATTCATTATTCAGAAGACTAAGATGTACAAAACAAACGTGTTACAATCTGAGAGCCAATGAACATTATCAGACCAGAGTTCGTTCCAAAGGTAGAGTGACTTTATGGGGCAGTAAACAGCACAACAACGTGACACTAATCAGGTTTTTCACGGTCAGTCCTCGCGGTCAGTCCTCTGCCAGGAAAAGCAGGTGGAGCGGAGTTCAGACTTTGAAGAAATTGCAAAATTAGAATTGAAAGATTTTCTGATTTGCTTCAACTTGTCAAAATATGAGGAAAAGAAATAGTGATTCATTGTCGTTACCAAAACAAACCAGGAGGAAACACTGACTCAACTCTCAGGTCTAAATCAGGTCTAAACAAGGACTAAAGTAGATCTAAACCAGGACTTTTTTGGCAGTGGCCCATACACTCAACATTATGTGTCAAATAGATTGTTGGTTTATTTTTTAAAATTAGTTTTGTTTGTTTTTTATATTAATGCTGTTTATGGTCACCTACAGAACATAAATTATTGTCTACAACACATGAACCAGGTCTAAACCAGGACTGCACCAGGACTAAACCAGGACTAAACCAGGACTAAACCAGGACTAAACCAGGACTAAACCAGGACTAAACCAGGACTAAACCAGGACTAAACAAACCAGGACTAAACCAGGACTAAACCAGGACTCTAAACCAGGACTAAACCAGGACTACCAGGACTAAACCAGGACTAAACCAGGACTGCACCAGGACTAAACCAGACTAAAGGACTGCACAGGACTAAACGAGGACTAACCAGGACTGACCAGGACTAAACCAGGACTAAACCAGGACTAAACAGGACTAAACTAGGACTGCAGACTAAACCAGGACTAAACCAGACTGCACCAGACTAAACCAGGACTAACCAGGACTAAACCTGAACTAAACCAGGACTGCACCAGGACTAAAACGGGACTGAAACAGGACTAAACCAGGTCTAAACCAGGTCTAAACCAGGTTTAATCATGGACTTGAGAGAGAGAGAGAGGGTGTCCACAAAGTGCCACCGGGCGACAGCTGCACTTAGCCCCGTGGGACGCAGAGCTTTGTGCTGCTCCTTTCACCCGCGGTCACCCAACGGTCTACACGGGCTGTCCCAATACTCAGCCCTGGTTTAGACCTGGTTTAGACCTGTTTAGAGCTGGTTCAATCCCTGGTTTAATCCTCCTGTTTTAATCCTGGTTCCATCCTGGTTCAGTCCTGGTTCAGTCCTGGTTTAGACCTCATTTAGACCTCATTTAGACCTCGTTTAGACCTCTTTTAGACCTCTTTTAGTCCTAGTACAGTCCTGGTTTCGTCCTGGTTTAGTCCTGGTTTAGTCCTGGTTTTAGTCCTGGTTTTGTCCTGGTTTTGTCCTGGTTTTGTCCTGGTTTTAGACCTCATTTAGACCTGGTTCAGTCCTGGTTTAGTCCTGGTCAGTCCTGGCTCAGTCCTCTTGGTTTAGACCTCATTTAGACCTCTTTTAGTCCTGGTTCAATCCTGGTTCAGTCCTCTTGGTTTAGTCCTAGCTCCATCCTGGCTCAGTCCTGGCTCAGTCTTCAGTTTTAGTCTTGTTTTAGTCCTGGTTCAGTCCTGGCTCAGTCCTGTTTTAGTCTTGTTTTAGTCTTGTTTTAGTCTTGTTTTAGTCTTGTTTTAGTCTTGTTTTAGTCTTGTTTTAGTCTTGTTTTAGTCTTGTTTTAGTCCTGGTTCAGGTCTCTATATGACAGCAGTGCAGATTTCATGAGCCTATGCAGTTTGTTTTCAGCTCCGGTTTGACATTTAAGTTGTAGACCATTTTATTTATTTATTTATTTTTTTTTTTATATCTCCCTGGTTCTTGGTAAACATTTCTCCACCCGTCTGTCTCGTGTTGTCATCGCTTTACCTGGAATATCCCACAGTACGGCATTAAAACGTACGCCAGAGTCAGGCGGCATCAAAAGTCCCGTGTCAGATCTGTGTGGAGGCGAGTCTGCTCACAGTAAGCGCGCGCGTGTTATCGTGTGTGTGTGCGTGGAGTCGTGTGACGTCGTTTCCCCTTCGGCGGGGGGGTTCTGTTCTGTGGAAATAAACAGAGACCTTTCTGTTTGGCGATTCTCCAGCTTTTATTCTGCGCTCTCCGTTTGGTCCGCTACTCGGTTTTCACTGAAGATAGTCCGTTTTTCAGCAATAAAATGAGCTGGAAGTGAATAAACGCGAGGTAGATTTGTTCAGTTTTGCCGCCGTATTACGGAACATTCCAGGCATCGCCGTAGAAACCATCGGGTACCAGACCATGGACCAGGAAAGTGTCATAATACAAATTTAAGGAGGCCAAGATCTAAACCAGATAAACTAGAACAAAACAAGAGCAACTAAACCAAAGGAGGGAAAACAGACCTGCAGGACTAAACCAGGACTAAACCAGGACTAAATGAAGACTGAGTTAGGTCTGGACTTGGACTGAACCTTGTCTTAACAGAGGATAAACCAGGACTAAACCAAGACTAAAACAGGTCTAACCAAAGACTGAAGTTGGACTAAAAAATAACTAAACCAGGAATAAACCAGGACAAAACCAGGACTAAACTGGGACTAGACCAGGACTGAGTTAGGTCTGAACTTGGACTGAACCCTGGATTAACCGTGGATAAACCAGGTCTAAACCAGGTCTAAATCAGGTCTAAACAAAGACTGAATTTAGACTGAACCAGGTCTAAATCAGGACTAAAACAGGACTAAACAAAGACTGAACTTGGACTAAACCAGCACTAAACCAGGACTAAATCAGGACTAAACCAGGACTGAGTTAGGTCTGAAATTGGACTGAACCCTGTCTTAACCATGGATAAAGCAGGACTAAACCAGGTCGAAACAAAAACTGAATTTAGACTAAACCAGGACTTAAACCAAGACTAAAACAGCACTAGACCAGGACTAGACCAGGACTAGACCAGGACTAGACCAGGACTAGACCAAGACTAAACCAGGAATAACCCAGGACTAAACCAGCACTAAACCAGAAGTAAACCAGGAATAAATCAGGATGGCACCAGGACTACAAAAAGACTGAATTTAGACTAAATCAGGACTAAGCCAGCACTAGTCCTGCATTAAACCAGGATTAAACCAGGACTAAACCAGGACTACACCAGGACTAGACCAGGACTAAAGAAAGACTAAAGAAAGACTAAAACAGGACTAAACCAAGACTAAACCAAGACTAAACCAAGACTAAACCAAGACTAAACCAGACTAAAGAAGACTAAAGAAAGACTAAAGAAACTAAACCAGGCCAACCCTGGACTAAACCAGGACTAAAGAAAGACTAAAGAAAGACTAAAGAAAGACTACAGAAAGACTACAGAAAACTAAACCAGGACTAGACCAGGACTTAGACCAGGACTAGACCAGGACTAGACCAGGACTATACCAGGACTAATCCAGCACTAAACCAAGACTAGACCAGGACTAGACCAGGACTAAAGAAAGACTAAACCAGGACCAAACCAGATCTAAACAAATACTGAACTTGGACTAAACCAGGACTAAACCAAGTCTAAACAAAGCCTGAACCTGGACTAATCCAAAACACGTTAAAACATTATTTTATGACACCACTGCGCAATCGTCCACCGCAGCCACCTTCACCATTTCAGACGAGTTCAGAGAAACCCCAGGTAAACAAGAGCACGTGAACGCACCACAGCACCGCACAGGACACTGCAGACACACAGACAGAGACCGTGAACGCAACACGTCAATACTGTGCCAAACTTCAAACCCGACAGTCCTGCAGCTCCAACACCGCAAAAAAAAACAACAACACACAACCTGACGCTGCGACACACGACGTCAGGACGAGCACAAGGACACGGACCGGGCGCGCGTGTCTTACCGGCGGGCATCCTGGACGTGCACCGCGGCTCCTCTCGGCTCTCCGGGTCGGTGTTAGCCTCCGTGTAGCATCGCTGTCCGCGCGACGACGAGTCTGTGTGGAGAAATGCGCACGATATTAGCCGAGGCGAGGCGTGCCAGACGTAAAAAGCGCGCACGTATGGGCCGGGGATGTGGCTTTAACTGGCTGCCATGGCGCTCGTAATCCCCCCCCACCCCCCGTGCTCCGTTAGCTGTGGAATTAGCCGCGACAGCTAACTAAAAAAAAAAAAAAAGTACCTGCAACACGGAGGCGCAGGAAAGTTACGCACGCACGGCCCGGGTGGCGCATGCGGCGGAGGGAGAAGGGGAGGGTGGGCACGTTCCTGGGGCAGACTGGGGTTGGCGGAGAGAGAAAGAGGGGGGTGGGGGGGAGAGGGTAGAGGGCACATACCTGCAGGCGGGCTCCGATCACAACATTGGAAGCTGCTTTACGGGAGGAAGGAAACGTGCTGGTGCTGTTGGTGGTGTTGGTGGTGTTGGTGGTGTAGGCGGGCGCAGGGCACACCTCCCTCTCTGCAGCATGCGCCGGGCCCGATGTGATGTTACACAGCCCGTATGACGCTACTTTGTCTGTGTTTCCTCTTCACAAACAGGGCTGGACTTGTCTTTTCTTTCATTCACACGTTTAACGCACAAACGCTGCACATTTGAGCTCAGTTCTTGTCTCAAACTGAAAACATTCCAACTCGTCGTGTCACGTGTTAAGGAAGTGAACCTAAATATAGACACTGAATTGACAATCTCCATTAATCAAAAGGTAAAAGGAGCAGTTAACTGGAAAACCACAGCATCATGACATCACAAGGTGAAACAGAGCATGATGAGATGTAGACAGACAATAAAGGATTACTCAAATGTGTGAATGAAATAAAAAAAAAAAAAAACTCACTTTCTGTACAAACATAAAGACACCAACCCAGTAAAAATCTGTAATATTTGATGTTTTTTTTTTTTGTTTTGTTTTTTTTTTTTTTTTGTGTAAAATGATGTGGAATCATGTTATTAACATTAATGTCGTTCATAATCACTTACAGGACTAAACCAGGACTAAACCAGGTCTAAATCAGGTCTAAACCAGGTCTAAACCAGGTCTAAACCAGGTCTAAACCAGGTCTAAACCAGGTCTAAACCAGGTCTAAACCAGGTCTAAACCAGGTCTAAACTAGGACTAAACAAGGACTAATCTTAGATTTGAGAGAGGGAGAACCCCGAGCCCGCAGAGCAGGGTGTCCGCAAAGCACGATCAGGAAATGGCTGCATTCTGCACCTGTCCTTTCACGTGCGGTCACCCAATGGTCTACGTGGGCGCACCTCCGGGCCTGTCCAGACACTCAGTCCTGGTTCAGTTCTGGTTTAGTCCTGGTTTAGTCCCGGTTCATGTGTTGTAGTCTATGATTTATGTTCTGTAGGTGATTATAAACAGCATTAATGTTAATAACATGATTCCGCGTCATGGGTCTGCATACTGAGTTAGTCTTGGTTCAGTCCTGGTTCAGTCGTGCAATCAGTCTTGCTTTAGTCCTCGTTTAGTCCTCCTGGTTAAGTCCCAGGATCAGTCCTGGTTCAGTCCTGGTTTAGACCTGATTTAGTCCTGGTTCAGTCCTTCTGGTTCAGTCCTGGTTTGGTCTTGGTTTAGTCCCTGTTCAGTCCTGGCATCAGTCCTGGTTTAGACCTGGTTTTGTCGTCCTGGTTCAGTCTTGCGATCAGTCCTAGTTTAGTCCTGGTTTGGTCCTTTTTTAGTCCTGGTTTAGTCCTACTGGTTCAGTCCTGGCATCAGTCCTGGTTTAGACCTGGTTTAGTCCTGGTTTAGTCCTCCTGGTTCAGTCCCAGGATCAGTCCTGGTTCAGTCCTGGTTTATACCTGGTTTAGTCCTGGTTCCGTCCTGGTTTAGACCTGTTTTAGTCCTGGTTTAGTCCTGGTTTAGACCTGTTTTAGTCCTGGTTCAGTCCTGGTTTAGACCTGTTTTAGTCCTGGTTTAGACCTGTTTTAGTCCTGGTTTAGTCCTGGTTTAGACCTGTTTTAGTCCTGGTTTAGACCTGGTTTAGTCCTGGTTCAGTCCTGGTTTAGACCTGTTTTAGTCCTGGTTTAGACCTGTTTTAGTCCTGGTTTAGTCCTGGTTTAGACCTGTTTTAGTCCTGGTTTAGACCTGGTTTAGTCCTGGTTCAGTCCTGGTTTAGACCTGTTTTAGTCCTGTTTTAGTCCTGGTTCAGTCCTGGTTTAGACCTGTTTTAGTCCTGGTTTAGACCTGTTTTAGTCCTGTTTTAGTCCTGGTTCAGTCCTGGTTTAGACCTGTTTTAGTCCTGGTTTAGACCTGGTTTAGTCCTGGTTTAGTCCTCCTGGTTCAGTCCCAGGATCAGTCCTGGTTCAGTCCTGGTTTAGACCTGGTTTAGTCCTGGTTCAGTCCTGGTTTAGACCTGTTTTAGTCCTGGTTTAGACCTGTTTTAGTCCTGGTTTAGACCTGGTTTAGTCCTGGTTCAGGTCTCTACAGGACAGTCCTGCAGACGTCTTGAGCCTATACAGTTTGTTTCACCGTTGCCAACAGCTCCGGTTTCACATTTAAGTTGTAGTTATTTTATTTTTATTATTTTTTTTTATATCTCACATCAGGAAAAGTGGATGGACGCCCACCACACCCCCGGTAACAATATGAAAACACAACTTAAACATCACAAGAGTCAGTTTTGTGTAATACTGGACCTTTAATTTAGTCTCATTTAGAGTTTTATCTTTAGTCAATGTAAAACGTACAAGATACAATCAAGTACTTTCAAGTAATTAAACTTATCTCTTTTATCCTCCTTTATGTATTGCAAAAAAAAAAAAAAGAAGAAGAAGAAGAAAGGCTAAAATACTGAATCAGCGTTGTTATTACAGCACCATATGGATCCTGTTAGCTCCAGAATGACACAGGCCCGGTTCAAGTGACGTCAAACATAATTCTTTCAAAATACATTCCACACGGAGGTTTTGTGGTTTGGCTCTGATAACTTGTTCTAATACTGAGATGAGAGATGAGATCATTTTTTATTTACAGTGACTTGAAGATAGGAAATTGTACTATTTTATATGTTTTGACAGTGAATAAAGAAGGAAGACTGCGAAAAACGTCGCATTGAACGAGTCGAGACTTTGGAGGAGCCATTCGCGTTCTCGTTTTAGTCACGTTACCCCGAGGAAGAGTAGAAAAGGTTCGCAAAGGAGGACAGGACAGGACAGATGGGGACAGAAGGAGGAGGCAGGAGGGGAAAGAAGGAAGGAGAGAAGAGAGAGCAAGGAGGAGGCAGAAGGAGGAAAGAGGAGGCAGAAGGGGACAGGAGGAGGTAGGAGGACAGAAGGAGACAGGAGAGGACAGAAGGAAGCAGGAGAGGACAGAAGAGGAGAGAAGGAGGCAAGAGGAGGCAGGAAAGGACAGGAGGAGGCAGGACAGGACAGAAGAGGAGAGAAAGAGGCAAGAGGGGACAGAAGGAGGCAGGAGGAGAGGCAGGAGGAGGACAGAAGGAAGCAGGAGGGGACAGAAGAGGAGAGAAGGAGGCAAGAGGGGAAAGAAGGAGGCAGGAGGGGACAGAAGGAGGCAGGAAAGGCCAGAAGGAGGCAAGAGGAAGCAGGAGGAAGTAGAAGGGGACAGGAGGAGGTAGAAGGAGTTAGGAATGGACAGAAGGATGCAGGAGGAAACAGAAGGCAGTAAGAGGAGGCAGAAGCAGACAGGAGGGGACAGAAGGAGGCAGAAGGGGACAAGAGAGGACAGGAGGAGGCTAGAGGAGGAGTCAAAAGGAAGCAGGAGGAGTCAGAAGAAGGTAAGAGGAGGCAGGAGGAAGCAGGAGAGGACAGAAGAGGAGAGAAGGAGGCAAGAGGGGAAAGAAGGAGGCAGGAGGGGACAGAAGGAGGCAGGAGAGGACAGAAGGAAGCAGGAGGGGACAGAAGAGGAGAGAAGGAGGCAAGAGGGGAAAGAAGGAGGCAGGAGGGGACAGAAGGAGGCAGGAGAGGACAGAAGGAAGCAGGAGGGGACAGAAGAGGAGAGAAGGAGGCAAGAGGGGAAAGAAGGAGGCAGGAGGGGACAGAAGGAAGCAGGAGGAGGCAGGAGGGGACAGAAGGAGACAAGATGAGGCAGGAGAGGACAGAAGAGGAGAGAAGGAGGCAAGAGGGGAAAGAAGGAGGCAGGAGGAGGCAGGAGGAGGCAGAAGGAGTTAGGAGTGGACAGAAGGATGCAGGAGGAAACAGAAGGCGGTAACAGGAGGCAGACGCGGACAGGAAAGGACAGAAGGAGGCATCAGGGGACAGGAGGAGGCATGAGAGGACAGAAGGAGTCAGAAGGAGGCAAGGGATCGCAGAAAAAGTTAGGAGGGGACGGGAGAGGGCAGAAGGAAGCACGAGGAGGCAGGAGAGGACAGAAGAGGAGAGAAGGAGGCAAGAGGGGAAAGAAGGAGGCAGGAGGAGGCAGAAGGAGTTAGGAGTGGACAGAAGGATGCAGGAGGAAACAGAAGGCGGTAACAGGAGGCAGACGCGGACAGGAAAGGACAGAAGGAGTCAGAAGGAGGCAAGGGATCGCAGAAAAAGTTAGGAGGGGACGGGAGAGGGCAGAAGGAAGCACGAGGAGGCAGGAGGAAGCAGGAAAGGGACAGAAGGGGATAGAAGGAGGCGAGAGGAAGCAGGAGAGGACAGGAGGAGCCTGGGCGTGCCTCGGGGCTGACACTGATGGGACGTGACTGCCCGTCCGTGCCAACGGCGTCTCTCCCGCTGCCACGATCCACCTCCACATTTATGATCTGCAAAACACAAGTACAGAAGCAGAAAATGAGAAAAGTACGAACACAAAAACAAGAGGCAGATCAAGTTTAAACGTCTATGGATTCTTTTGACCTGTGACCATGTTAATGTTTGTTTCAGGTTTTATTTTATCCATAGAACAGTCATCCCTGTAACATCGCAGCTGCAGCAGGTCGGGCTCTGAAACCGGCTCCAGCTCAGATTATTTTCGTTGTGAAGGTCAAGGGCCAAACGAGACACAGACCATGAAAAGGTTCTTAGCGGAGGAGACTGAATACTGTAAAACTGAGCTCAAACCTGCTTACAGTGTTGGGAAGGTGACTTTTAAAATGTATTTTCCCCTACAGATTACAGATTACATACACCAAAATGTAGTTTATAAGTGGTTTTAGTCCTGTTTTAGATCAGGTTTAGATCTAGTTTAGACCTGGTTTTAGTCCTGGTTTAGACCTGGTTTTAGTCTTGCTTTAGACCTGGTTTTAATCCTGGTTTAGTCCTGATTTAGACCCGGTTTAGATCTAGTTTAGACCTGGTTTTAGTCGTGGTTTAGTCTTGGCGGTTTTAGTCCTGGTTTAGTCCTGGTTTAGACCTGGTTTAGATCTAGTTTAGACCTGGTTTTAGTCCTGTTTTAGACCTGGTTTAGACCTGGTTTAGATCTACTTTAGACCCGGTTTAGATCTAGTTTATCTACTTGAGACCCAGTTTAGATCTAGTTTAGACCTGGTTTTAGTCCTGGTTTAGTCTTGGCGGTTTTAGTCCTGGTTTAGACCTGGTTTTAATCCTGGTTTAGTCCTGATTTAGACCTGGTTTAGATCTACTTTAGACCTGGTTTTAGTCCTGTTTTAGACCTGGTTTAGACCTGGT